GGGAAGCCAGCGACTAACCGCTTGGGCTCTTGCCAGCGCAGTCTTTCTCGGGTCCGAGTCCCTTGGACTCGCCACCACATTTTACTGTCTCAGATTTGAGACTTCCCTTTTTGTCGCCTCCTACGACTTGCAGGGTCACGGTGGAGGTATTCGACCCCACCTCCACACGGGGGAGTCCCAACTCGTCTGGTCAAAGTCAAAGTTCAAGTCAACGTTACATTGCGACTGACGGTCAGTCAGTCAGTAATGTCATATATGACCCCCACTCACTTATTGTAACTTTTTTCAAATGTATAACCTTTTGGTATTAAGAGTACCCTTAATATAAGCAGTCCTAAAGAGACCACACGCAGTGTTATTTGGAGCAAGAAAGATCGGCATGCAGCCTCACCCGTAAGCTTTGACATACGTCCAGTGGCCCACCACTGGATGCATATGAGGTTGCATAGCCACCTAAAAAAACGGTAGCACGTGATGATCTCTTTGGGGACAAAGCCCTAGGCGTGGCAGATATAAGACAGCTCGCCTGAGGCGAGGGTCGATTTTCTAAAAGCAAAATTACTGTGTTTCTTTCTTCAATAAACTTGGTTAGTATTATTATCAACGTGTGGAGTGTGGTTTGTTTAATCTTGGGCTTCAGCGTCAGCTCCTGCACCAAGACGAACCCCTGACTCTCAGTGGCCAAAGTGAGAGTGTTTAGTGACAAGTACGCGGCGGCGGCGGGACCTGCCACCTCCCACCGGCGCCGAGTAAAGACGTTACAGTAAGTCTTGGTGTCGGGCCCCATCTGGGGCTCATGACACCTTACATAGGCCTCTCGCGGACCACAAAGAAAAACAGCCTATATTGTTGAACGTGTTTACCGACCTATTGCATAGCAACGGTCGCGGAACGGACAATATAGAAAACGCCGCACTCCCATCGTTGCCTTGCGTGTATTCGGTCGCGGGGTGTTTCGCGGTCAGTTACCTAGCAACGCTGTGTCCATCCTTGTCACAATATATATTATGACGTATAGACCCACTACTAGGCAACGACTGGGTAATCGAATTCCAGTGGAAGCGTACGCGCGCAAGAGTAGAACGTTGTAGTTGCGAGTGCTGTGTATAAGGTGTCATTAAATCCAATCCTCCAATCCAAAACTCCGTCTATAGTCGTTAATGCTCGTGACTATATTTAGGTTGCGAGAGCCACACATAGAGTTCCTTGAATGTCATTTCTCTCTGTATATGGTCACATCTAGGAAAGTCTTCCTGTTCAGATCAGCAAATTAAATGAAGTTTTGTAGCTTGTACTTGAAACCTTGCTCGCTATGATAAGCATTTAACAAAATGTAAACAAAGAATTCGTGTCTGTAATAACTTTTCTACTAGTTATCATTGTCAATAAAACATTTCCGTGACTGCTCTGCTGATGATAAGACATGACAACAGAGGATTTCTTTCTGAAGTGAATGAAAAATTAGAATATTTAAAGACGAAAAATAGAAATAAACATATTTGGGAACGAAATAAAGTTCCGGGGATGCCACCTGCTTTCACGCTGGTTTCTTTCTTGTTTTATTCCTGAAGATGGAGGCGATATGTTCATCCGAAACGTCGGTTGATTTTCAGCGTGCTACACGGCTTTATATTCTTAATAAAGAACCGGGATAGTGCGGTTAGTAGAGCGACTAGCCGCGGGCTAGACGACCAAGGGGTCAGAGTTCGAGTACCGGTGGGAGAAAAAAATTTAATTTCTCCATGTCGTTCAGGCCGGCTCTGGGGTCCACCCAGCCTCCTATACAATGGGTACCGGGGGCTGTTTCCCCCGGGGTAAAGCGGCAGGGGCGTGAAGCTGATCACTCACCTCCAGCTAGTGCCGAGGTCAAGAAAACGTGGGTTTATACACCCACTCCCCCATACGCCTTCATGGCTTAGTGCCTAATTAGTATAGCTCCATCTTTCTTGACCTCGGTATTAGTTGCAGGTGAGTGATCAGCTTCAAGCCCCGGTCGCTTTACCTCGTATTTGAAAAAAATATTAATTGTGAGAAAATCACCCGCAAAGAATTTGACTGACTTAAATGTTTTCAGACCCCATGATTAAGAAAAGAAAACGGAATCTCGCCTGTCTGCATATACACGTACGCTCCTCTTGGCTTCTGAATGGTTGAACGCGTTTTACTCTCGAGTGGTGTCCCATGAATATGAACATTACAACATCAGAAATTGCCCCCAAGAAACACAGTGTCGATTTACTCGAAAGCGGCTCTCAAGGTCTTGATTAAAAATCAGCAGTTTATCGCTCTAAATAAACTGCATAGGTGACATTTTCGTGAAAATAACAGTAGGAGCATTGGGGGCCCAAAGGGAAATGGCGGTCTGTGTTCAGCAGCTATTAATAATGTTCTACCAAGCAGTAATCGTTTCGTTTCCATGCTGACGACGCGGGATAACGCAGTCGGTATAGCGACTGGCGACGGGCTGGACGACCGAGGGGTCTCCACGTCGTCCAGACCGGCTCTGGGGCCCACCCAGCCTCCTATGCAATGGGTACCGGGTTTGGCGCTCTTTCCCTGGGGGGTCAAGCGGCAGGGGCGTGAAGCTGACCACTCACCTCCAGCTAGTGCCGAGGTCAAGAAAATATGGGTCTATACATCCACTCCCCCATACGCCTTAATGGTGTAGTGCTAAATTAGTTAAGCACAAGGACGACTTTAGTTTCCATGGTAACTCAGTAAAGACAATTAGTAGGCCTATATGAAAAGTATTGCTATGTGTTTGCACCCTTCTCGTAATGCTTGTTTCAAATTCACTCCGGAGAACCCGTTGCGGACGTACACCACCCCCTAGGGCCTTGGGCCCGAAACAGCGGGAGTCATCACCAGTTGCACGTATTAATGAGAGACTGAATAATGATTGGTGGAAACAGGCCGAGTCTGCACCTCAACGCCTTCTTTAAGGTTCATTTTAATATTATTTTCCATCTGTACCTAGATTGGGCCACGCAGTAGCATAGTTGGTTTAGGCACTATGCTACAAGCCGGAGCGTCGCAGGTTCAGTTCCCGATGAGGTCATTGGATTTTTCAATTGACCTAATTCTTCCAGCTGCACTGTAATCCTGAGGTTGACTCAGCCTCTAACAGACATGAATACCAGGAATCTTTCTGACGGTAAAGAGCAGCCGGCCGGCGCGTAAGGCTGACGACCTTACCGCCATCTGTGAGCTGATTGTCTAGATAATGTGGGACCCTCAACGTCTCACTACCCTATGGGCCTCCATGGCCTGTTACAGGGATAGCTTTACTTTTAACTCTTTTCCATTTATGCTTCAGGCATAGCTCAGTACGCTCTCTCTTGGTTTCTTGTGTACTCTCCCACGGGTCCAGATATTTTGCTCAGCAAGCAGTTCTCAAATAATCCCTTGAGGCAAAGAATAAGTTTAGCACGGATTTTAGATTAAAATTTACATAAGACTACGAACCGGGATAACTCAGTCGGTGTAGCGCCTGGCTACGGGCTGGACGGCCAGGATTCGATTCCCGGCAGGGGCAAGATAATTTTCTCTTCTCCACAGCGTCCATGCTGGCTCTGGGGCCCACCCAGCCTCCTACCAATGGGTATGGGGGGTAGTGCAGTAAGGGACATGAAGCTGTCCACTCACCTCCAACTTGTAAGTAAAGCTATCCCTGTAACGGGCCGTGAAGGCCCATAGGGTCGTGAAACGTTGAGGGTCCCACATTATCTAGACAATCGGCTCAAAGATGGCGGTAAGGTTGTCGAGCTTACGCGCTGGCCGCGCTTTACTCCCCAGGAAAATTATTTAATTTTTTTCCTGGTACTCATTTCTGTTAGAGGCTGAGTCGATCCCAGGGCCATAGTGCGGCTGGAAGGATTAGGTCAATTGATAAAAATCCAGTGACCTCATCGGGACTTGAACCCGCGACTTTTCGGATTGTAGCATAGTACCTCAACAAACTACGCTACTGCGTCCTCCAACTAGTGCCGAAGTTAAAATGTGGACTATACATCCACTCCCTCCAGATGCCTTAATGGTGTAGTGCTTAATTGGTTAAGCACAGGGACAACTTCGCCTTTTTAACTTTAGGGGGACATTTACTGTTTTGACTTAAGAGTCCGCAGTGCTGAATGTGATCACAATCCATTTGGTCAGAGTTTCACGTTATCTGCCCACATGATTATCATAGGAAAGCGAAGCGTTGTCTACCCATTTTCACAAAACTGGACGTTAAAGCTACCCGAATTCTTTGCTCTCCATCCACAGCTTCGACGACTTGTCAACCCTCGTGTTAATATTCGAAATTATGTGATGAAACATGTAAAGCCCTTCCAGCCAGTGTTTAAGGTCACGTAGAGTTGGCATATGGCATTCACTTGCCTGCATTAAATAACAGGCAGATTTATAGCGGTCCTGACTACACTGAGGTCAAAAGCCACAACGGATATAAACCAAACTTTACGAGACACGTCTCCTGCTTACAGCTGTGTGCAAGGAACGATAACCCCCCTTATACCTCGTGATAGAGAGGAAGCACAAGGAATGTATTGTATACTGAGTTGATTAATTTAGTGGGGAACTAAAATAAGGTTTAGCTAAAAATTTGACTTTGAAGAAAGTAGCCTTCTGGGATGTGGCACCGTGTAGATGTGGTGTTAACCGACGTTTCGGAGGAACGTATCGCCTCCATCTTCAGGGTAGAAGGAAAAATAAGAAATCCGCAAGCGAAGAGACCGTGAGAACCGGTCTGCTTGTACAGGTTCTCACGATCTCTTCGCTTGCGGATTTCTTATTTTTCCTTCTACCCTGAAGATGGAGGCGATACGTTCCTCCGAAACGTCGGTTAACACCACATCTACACGGTGCCACATCCCAGAAGGCTGCCTTCTTCACAGTCACCGCCGTGAAAACCTCACATCTTACAAAATTTGATTTTGTTTACTTTTCAGATCCCCCAGTGAAGGCTCTGAAGACTATGTGTTTAGAAGGACTCATAGGACGTCGCCTAGTGAAGCCAGTGACCGTCCTGATGTGTCCGAGCGACACTGGAGCTTGTGCCAGTCCCTTGCTGCCAAGAAGGTAACTGCGGCGTCAGTACACAATTCATATTTTGCTCTAGTAAAGGGACTCTCGTCTGCTGTCTAAAAACGTAAAAATAGAATATACGAAATTACAAATATAATTTTGCCTGTAGTTCTGTATGGGTGTGAAACTTTGTCTCTGACATTAAGGGAGGAACATAGACTGAGGGTGTTGAGGACAATATTTGGACCGAAGAGAGATGAAGTGACATGAGGCTGGAGTGAACTGAATAATGAGGAGCTTCATGACTTGTACTCTTCGCCAGGTATAATTAAATTAGAATGATCAAGTCAAGGAGGGCGATATTTGCAGGGAATTTAGCACGAATTGAGAAGAGGAATGCATGTAAGACATTGATGGGAGAGCTAGAAGGAAAGAGACCACTAGAATAACTAAGATGTATGTTAGTGGATAATATAAAAATGGATCTTAAGGAGAAAGAATGAGGTGGTATGGACTGGATTGATCTGGCTAAGTATAGGGACTGGTGGGAGATCTTGTGAGTACGGTAATGAACCTTCGGGTTCCATAAAATGTTGGGAAGTTCTTGAGTAGCTGCTCAACTGGCGGCTTCTAAGTTAGTAAACGCGATTGGTAAGTGGTAACAGAGTGTTTACACCAACAGATGGGAATGGTAACTGAAGTTTTATTCAGCCAGTAAGTTCCTTCTCCTTAGGCATAGAAGATGGGCGGGTTGTATGAAGCGAGATTTATGATGGTAACACAAAAAACTCATTCATTCAAATGATGTCTGTTTCCGCCCATTCATGGTGGGACAGAATAACAAGCAATAGCGTCGTATTGGGGGGCAGAGTATTCCTAAACTCCATACAGGCTCCGTTTTCGTACTTCCTATAGTTTGGGGGTGAGGAGTATTGTTGCAGAGCGGTTGCACCTGCGTTTATGGGAGGGTGACCGGGTGACGCTTTTGTCTGACCCATCCGAACACTTTGCAGTCAGTGGACTCGACCAAATCCACTGCGCGCTCTGTTGAAAACGGCCAGATCTACGAACATTGAGAGTACGTGACAGAGGAGAGTGGATAGCGTACGCTACGAAGGGAACTTGGCCCGGTGCGGGACACAGACCGGGTCTGAACTTCATAGAGAAAGGAGAGTAAGGTCCCAGTCGTCCAGCCCGTAGCTAATGTACTGACTGGGGACGACGACAATATCGTGCTGAGGACGGTTGAACCCAAACTAGTCATACAGTTGTGAAGGCACAAGGTAAAATTCACGCCTTGAACATTTATGGGGGAGTGGATATACAGCTTCGCCATTCTTAACCTTAGCACTAGATGGACATGAGTGGTGAGTTTCACGCTCCTGCCTCTTTATCCCCGGGGATAGAGCCCACGGTCGCCTTTGGGTAGGAGGCTGGGCGGTTCCCAGGGTCGGTCTGGACACTATGGAAGAAATAAAATTACCATACCGGGAGTCTAACCTCAGTTCTTCGGCCGTCCAGCCTGTCGCCATACCGGCTGAGCTGCCCTGACGTAAGTTCCAAGCCCCATATTGATCCCAGCAACAGTATTTTCCGCCTCTCTTTCCGTTAACATACAAGGGGACTGACAGCTGTGTTAAGGGCAAAAACAAAATTTTGTTTTACATTTTATTCACATTCTGTCGAGAAGTTACCATGTGGACTCTCACATAATCGGATAGGATATGGTAGTTGGAAGTAGATGTTTATTTATTGTAAATTATCTGTCTGCGAGTGGTGTCTATATCCGCACCTTATGTTGGGCTCAGTCGTCTAGACCAGTGGTTCTCAACCTTTATGAGACCGCGGCCCAGTAACTTCTTTCTTTATAAGACGAGGGCCCAGTCCCAACAAATTTACTCGTAAATACCTTTCCAGTTTTGTTCTTGCATTAAGCAAACGTAATATTAGCAATTAATTATAACATAATCATAAAGAGTATTAGTACACTTATGTATACGGTGTGGAATGGTGACAAACATAAAATTACATTTAAATTAGTTATCAATCACTGGACTAATGAAATCTTGTAGCACTTTGTAGTTTCCTCAGACCAACATCATTAAATTAATTTGTGCTAATTTTCATTGACATATCCCATGCTGATCACCAAAAACTTATGTTATTCAGCGTAAAATTGATTATTGTATTATTAAATTGATTTTAATGATGTTGGTTCGAAAAAAACGGCAGTGAGAAAAATATTTATGCATTGTAACTCATCATACAAGTCAGCTGAGTAGGGGAAGAAGCAGAAGGATGTCAACTTGCCGGCGAAACACTTATTGTCACATACACACGCCAAATAATTATATATGTAAAGTATGTAATTTGATAAATAAAAATGTTTGAATCTCTCAATTCTAAATTCAGCGAAGAAACAGTATTCAGTATTACTAGATTTGAGAACCGGATACAGACTGCCTTGATCTTCAATTTCAGTGGAAACATTTTCTCTATAGTTCCTTGCTGATTGGTCACTGACATTTGCTGTACAGATTTAGGTGTTCTGTGTCTGAGCTTCTCGACACAAATATTATTCTCCTCAGAATATTTCCACTATAAAATATTTATTCATGAAAGATGCTTAGAAAATGAAAATGACAAATTCCAGAAGAGCCTCTCGCGGCCCAGTATAATTGATGCCAGGGCCCACTACTGGGTCGCGGCCCGGCGGTTGAGAAGCACTGGTCTAGACAAAGCTCAGATATTATTTAAGAGCAAACTGAACTTGCTGCCTGAAACCAATCACCGCCATGGAATTTATACCTCATGTCGCTCAGTATCTGTAGCCTTTTAGTCGCTGACTTCCCACCGCGGCGGCCCGGGTTCGATCTCGGGTCTGGTCAAGTGGGATTTGTGGTGGACAAAGTGGCGCTTGGGCAGGTTTTCTCCGAGTACTTCGGTTTCCTCTGCCTATCTTCCAAAGTGGGCTTAGGACATCACCATGCTCTGTGTATGTGTGTATGAGAGAGATAGGGGCAGGGCGTGCGGCCGTGCACATCTGTGTGTGTGTGTGTGTGTGTGTGTGTGGGGGGGGGTGATTTGTGCTAAGTGACTGTGTCCACAAAATTATTAGAGGGCACTGCACTGCATCACATTTAATTGCAACATGTTTCGGCCTTAACAAGGTCTTCTGTAGGCAGGTTTTCACCAATTGAAACTGTCACACTGCACCGGTTCTTATGTCAGTGCATCCCATGCTATTGCCTATCGTTGTTCGCACTAAAATGTGTTTGTCTGAGGATGAACACCCTCTTTCCGCTTCGCGTTATTATCATTTTGCGGTGTCCGTTTTATGCCCCCTTCGTGTATAGTTTTCAGTGCATGGGATAAATACAGAATATCGTTGTGTAGACTGCATACCTTATATACGAGTACTTTCATATATCTTATTCATAATACACAACAGGGTGCACACTATTAAGATTGTAAAAGGTTACGTAAAGCCGTTACTGCTTCATAGACTAGGTACTTGATCTCTGTCTAGTGTTACTGTACACGGTACACATGCCTTAAACTCTCCTCCAACAGTAAAGTTAATGCGTTTGTCCATTGTTGTGCTTTTTACGATTTCTTGCCGTGGATATCTCTTCAACAGTTACATTTATATCGTGTGTATTGAAGCCCTAGCAACCCAGTTCTTTATTTGCCTGTTACCTAGGAGATGTGTTTATCGAGCCGTTGCCTAGCTATTGTCGCGTATTGGCCATATGAGGCGACAAATAACTTCACACCGGTCTTGGATTTAGCGAATATGCTTATTGCACACTCGCTTCTACACTTACACACGTAAGTACAATTATTGTCATTTATAACTTCTTCATGTTCACAATTCATCTGTATTTCAACGCTTCTTTCAACTCTCTCTGAACACTGTCCTGTGTTTCAACTGTACTTGGCACTGCTAGAATTCAACTGAACTGCCTGTCATAGTCAAAGTCACATTGCGACTGACGGTCAGTAAGTCAGTAAGTTTTGGGCTCAAGCACCATCTGGGGCTCATGACCAGATGTGTATTACTGTTTGACAGTTACGGTCTTGTTTCTGTGGGGCGCCCTCTCTGACGAGAGGATGGGTCTGTCTTTTCTATATGCTACTGGCCCTTGCCAGCGCAGTGTTTCTCGGGTCCTAGTTCTTTGGGACTTGCGACCATATTTTACTATCTCACATTTGAGACTTCCCTTTTCGTCGTCTCCTACGACTCGCAGGGTCACGGTGGAGGTATTCGATCCCGCTTGGTGCATTGAACCCCCCTACATAGGCCTCTCGCGGACCACACAGAAAACAGCCTATATTGTTGGACGTGTTTACTGACCGATTGCCTAGCAACGGTCGCTGCACGGACTCCACTATTGCGTGACGTCACAGCGTAGCGGGGAGGGGTGTTTACCGAGCGTTGCGTAGTGATGGGATGAGTGGGAATATGTGACATTACTCGCACTTCCTGTTGCGCTATCCAAGCGTTCACAGAGTTGTCGCCTAGCAACGCGCCGATACAATCCACAACTCTCCCTTTGCGCCCGTGGCTCGAGGCCTCTGTGGCTCAACAGTTCCTGTATAGAGCAAATACGCCACAACATATTAAAATATTTCAGTATTTCACAAGTGTTACGCAGAGTGTCACTTACGGCTTCATCAAGCGGCCTCCGTAGTCTAGGGGTAACGTTCCCACCTCATGACTCAAGGTACGCGGGTTCAAACCCGGAGGTCGGGAGGGACTTTAAGCCGTGGGTCCCGTGTCGTAGATTTACGGCACGTGAAAGATCCTCATGTCTCTAGGAGACCTCTGAGCAAAATTAGGCAACAATTTCCTGCCCAAGTAGTTTCCAATGCCTCTGGTAGATGGGGGAAATATTAGGTACCGACGGCCGACCTCGTTGGCTGAACGGGGCTGATAGCACGCACCAGTACCGGTAGGGTATGGCGACAGTAGAAATTAAAGGGAGACGCACAATGGACCAGTAACTGGTCTAAGTGCATGGGGAAACCCACCCCCTCTATAATAATAATAATAATAATAATAATACGGCTTCATCCGTTTACACCCTCGCATAATAACTTTTTCATCGTTAAAGCTTGCATCACGATGTTGTAGTATATACCAGCCGTTCCTATGCAATTAGCGAATATACAGTGACCGTTTCTGAGCAGCTGCTTGATAAACACGTCCCCGCGGAAACGAATACGCACATAACAATAGACTCTTAAACAGGGTGTTTTCTGTGTGGTACGTTCAGAGCTGTTAGGAGTATGACAGTTTGAAACGAGTTCATGCCCGTGTGAAGGCGCTGTCGAATACCTCCACCGTGACCCTGCAAGTTGTAGGAGGCGACGAAAAGAGAACCCAGTGCCTTGGGGTATAACCGGGCCACCCTCTTCTTGGGGGATATAAATACGGGGAATTGGTCCTCCAAGCATGGGGGGTCTCGAATCTGAGACTGTAAAATATGGTCATGAGTTCCGCGGGACCCGGACCCGAGAATTATCACTGCGCTGGCGAGGGCCAATATGAATTGTAAGCGACAGACCCAGCCTTTCATCAGAGAGGATGTTACATAAGGTCTATAACCGTAAGTGTTCAGTTGAAAAAAACTGGTCGTAGGTCTCAAGGGGCTTGGCGGTAAACCGCCAATCGTTAAGTAACTGACTCTGACAACGAATTCAGTTGGGCTTTGCAAGGGAGGCTGAGAAGAGATGGCGTTATAGTTTGGAGTTAGCTAGTTCTCAGTTAAAAGTCAGCCTGTGAAGAGAGAACTAGGAGGTTGGTCTGGGACTCAGTTGAGAGGAGTTGTTTACGGGAGGCAGAAGAAAACAGTTACTTGCATGATTGTGGCTGTGAAAAGGTGACTCTGTTTGCGATATGTGAAGTGGGTAATTCAGTGAGACGGTTATAGTTCCTGTGTTAAAATCCGTTGCCAGGAAACGGCTAGTGGAGACTGTAGTAGACTGAGGACACTAGTCCGTATGTGTCAATGGTCTCTAAAATGTAATTACGAGCCGTGTGTTAATGTGGTCAGTAAATCCAAGATCCAAGCCAAGCCCCCCTGTAGGCACACACTCATAAATCGTGACAAAATCGTATCTAATAGTTTTGTATAGCCTCCTGACAAAACTAAATTCATATTATTGCTAGTTTCTTGGGTGATGTTTTAATCTTACATTGTAAAATCACAGCGTTCCGTGAACAAAATCTGTTCCCATCTTCCGCTAAGAGGTAACCACACAATTGGCTCGCTTATGAAGAGATATTTGCGTGTATTACGAGAACCATTGTTTATTGATGAATATTAAATTAACAACCCTGCTCCACATAATGCACACTACTCTTCATATATGGACATAGGAGAAACACGTCATCTGAATTGGAATAAATTGGATATAAGCTTTATGTAACGTTTGGAAATGAGTGGACAAAGTGTGAGGCTGAGAGGGATCTGAAATTATATGATGCCCCAACCCCCAAAAATATCACACCAAATTACGTGACCATGTCATCTTTGTCGGTAAACGAGAAGTCTACACCTGCACAAAGCCTCAAATTTCCGTCAGTCTGTAACGTGACAGCAGGAACAGAAATAGCTTTACAGTCTCCCTACACCCACAGTAACCTATATGTTCCTGTACCGCCATGAAAAGCGCGCTTCTGCGCAATATTGCTGGTCCCTATCGGGCTGTACGTTACAGCAGGAACCTAAATAGCTGTACAGCCTCGCTACACTGCAGTAAGCCATAGAATGTCCCTGTACAGTCACGAAGAGTGCAGTTCTGCACACTGTTGCAGGTCCCTGTCAGACGGTACGGTGACAGCAGGAACCTAAATAGCTTTACAGCCTCTCTACACCTACAGTAAGCCATAGAATGTCCCTGTACAGTCACGAAGAGTGCAGTTCTGCACACTGTTGCAGGTCCCTATCAGGCTGTACGGCGACAGCAGGAACCTAAATAGCTTTACAGCCTCGCTACACTGCAGTAAGCTATAGAATGTCCCTGTACAGTCACGAAGAGTGCAGTTCTGCACACTGTTGCAGGTCCCTATCAGACTGTATGGTGACGGCAGGAACCTAAATAGCTTTATAGCCTCGCTACACTGCAGTAAGCCATAGAATGTCCCTGTACAGTCACGGAAAGTGAAGTTCTGCACACTGTTGCAGGACCCTGTCAGACGGTACGGTGACAGTAGGAACCTAAATAGCTTTACAGCCTCGCTACACTGCAGTAAGCTATAGAATGTCCCTGTACAGTCACGAAAAGTTCAGTTCTACACACTGTTGCAGGTCCCTATCAGGCTACACGGTTACAGTAGGAACCTAAATAGCTGTACAGCCTCGCTACGCTGCAGTGAGCAGTCTCTGTACAGTCACGAAGAGTGCAGTTCTGCACACTGTTGCAGGTCCCTGTCAGGCTACACGGTTACAGTAGGAACCTAAATAGCTGTACAGCCCCTCTGTCCCTACAGTATCGAGTAGCCTCACGTGTCACATTCCTAGAATTCAAATTGATTCTTCTGAAGAAGCTGATGAAGCAGTTGCGACTTCTGTAGCACCTGTAGCTCTGCATATAGAATATCAATAGAAGTATTACAGCTTTAGATTGGAATTGCTATCTCTCCAACTTAGATCGTCTATTGAAGCGCAGAGGCCCAAAAATTATAGTGTGAGGCTCCGAAACCAGGAAGAAAACTGGAACACTAAGAATGTTAAGGAGAACGGCCTAGAAAAGAGCGGTTGAACTGTGAATAAAATGTCAGTGTGTGAGATCACAACTCAAACAATATGGCGTATTTCTAAATCCATTTAAAAAGGATGTGGACCAAAGACACCCCTCAAATTCATGGTCCTCTGGGCTACAGATTCTACCGCAACGATAATGCCGGCTTGGTTGCAGATTGTTTACCGAAGGAGTTCACACCGCTTAATTTGTGTGTATGACCGCGGACACCGTGTGGATGCTAGAATCCAGGCTCTTCTGATCACCGTCGATGTAAACGCCTGTATAAAATTCCGATTCTGTGACATCTTAAAAATAATAAAAACTTTGCAACTGGAAAAGGCCCGTCGTTTTAGTAGCTTTACAAATGAATGCTTCAGGAACCTTCCAAGAAGACCTCTTTCATTTATCGCGTTTCTTGATAACTGTTTCCGCATCTGTCGCTTCCTCATATCCTGGAAGGAAACAGAGTCGTGACCCTGCTGAAATACGACAAGGACGCAAAATTCCCCCAGATTTACTCCTGATTACGATCTTGTCCATTACATGGAAACATTCTGAGAAAAGTTTTTAAGAACAGTCCAAAGGCACTCAGAGGAAACAACTTGTTCAGTGTAAGTCAGTTTGACTTTTGTGCCAATCGTTAGATTAAGAGATAACGTCACTCTTAAACTCTGCAGTAATATATGGACGGCTGTGGTATTATTGCACATCGAAGAACCCCTTGACACAATGTACAATCTGGTCTGCTATATAAATTGTCATAATTACAATTTTCTGTAAGTCTTGTTAAGCAGATTGTTTCTTTCTCACCAACAGAAAATTTGAAGTCTCGGTATAAGGCGATTTGTTTATATCCAGAGAAGAAGCGGCAGGGGTACCTCGAGGTTCCGTCATAGGCCAAATATTGTACGTATAATCAGTGTATAGGCATTTCTCCCGCAGCACATGGAATTCGTCTTCCTCTGTTCATGAATTATCCATGTATATTAGTGACAGAGAAACAGGAACGTAGTGTTCTCAACAAATTACAGCGCGGCCTCACTGTTGGTGTGTCGTGGAGTGAACGCTGAAATGTAAAAAATCAATGGACGACTCAGGCGACCTATTTATCCAGATGACATGGAATTCCCGATGACGAATTACATCTAATCAGATCATTCCATTTATAAATAATGTAAAGCATCTTGGCATTTTCTTCGACTGAAGAATGAGATGTGGACACCACATTGAAAAGACCGTAGCCAAGTCCTTGGGCGTATGCACAAGGAATTAGATCGTTAAACTCTGATATTAAACGTAACCTCTACAGAGCACTAATGAAGTCAGTAATGCCACTCATCTATTGAAACTGCTGCCACTGCAGAACAGAGTTCTCCGAGATGTTGGCAATCTTGACAGGCGCACGCCTGGCTGCGATGTGCAAGTGATACTCGCTGTTCCTGACGTCTGCTATTGCATGGTTAAGTTTTGCAGTAGACAGGCAGATGCCATCCAGAATCTTCAGAATCCAAATATACGTGCAGTTGGGCAAAGATAAGCTCTGCATGAGGCTTAGACCAGGCGGTAGGCAGGCCTAGGACCGTTCAAGTGACTAATTGCCGTTGCAGGGTGGTTAACTACGTTTTAAGACGTAATCTTCTGTAAAAGCCTGTATTGAGAGAGGTCTGCTGTATATATTGGATAAATGTTGATGTCACGTGATGCCTATATAACGCGACGAATAATTTCACACAGGCCTCGGATTTAGCGAATATATTTATTAGCCAATCTCCTCTACAGTTACAAGTACAATTATTCACAATCACAATTACTGCCTCGAAGCCAACTGAAGACTGACTACTCTTCTAAGGTCAGCTACAAACTGAACTGAACTCTTGTTGAAGCTGAAGTTTTATAACCACGCGGACTCGATAGAAAATAACGGTTCATTCCGTTCGCCGCTATCGAAACGTTGCTTCAACAGTTCGTGTGTAACGGGGGAAACTCCACTATTAGATTGCTAGCACGTTCGGATTGTAGCGTCGTAGCGGGAACTCTGCTCGTTGCCTAGGAAGTCAACTCTGATCTCAACCATTCCGGCTTTCTGGCGCCACGCCACAATATGTATTCGAGTGTAGCGACAGATTGCACGAGTATTTAGTATATGTATATGCCGGGCACACTGTGAATGCAAGGATGCTGTTGTTATGTGTTGTGTTACCTTGCAGCAGAGATGACCCCTACTCTGAATTGCCAGCACCTTCTCTTGTCGAAGACGATGTCCCATTCTTAAAAAGACTGTAATAGACTGTTGAACAGAACAGTTGACCTAATACTTCCAGCCGCATTGTGGCTCTGGGGTCGACTCAGCCTCTAACATAAATGATTACCATAAATCTTTCTGGGGGTAGAGGGCGGCTGACAACCTCACCGCCGTCTGTGAGCCGACTGTCTAGAAAAGTGGGAGCCTCGATGTCTCACGACCCTGTGTGTTTCCACAGCCTGTTATACGGATAGCTTTACTGTGTACACACACTCGCTGTGTCTCTCTCTCTCTCTTTCGATGCAGACAGTTTATTTCTCAGTGTCATCGAAGATCCGTGTAGCCATAAAACCTAGATTTGTGTTCTGGTGTGCATAGTTCTAATCTCAGTCATGTTATCTGCTATTCAGAAGAGTGCTTCAAGGGACTTTGAGCTCTTCAGGCAAATCCCTTAAGTACTGACTCACTAATCTTTTATCTCATTTTGGTGTTGGTGCAGGCCACCAACGGGATAGACTTTTATTCGAAACGTACTCGGCTACAGTCTTGGCCTGGACATCGGCGCTCCTGACTGAGCGAGATGTTCCTGGTTTCCCTCAGTCCCCCCAGCAAATCCTGGAATAGTACCTTCATTATACCACTGCCGCTTCCTTCCGAATCCTTTGTAGTTCATCGTGCAACTATTATCCTACCCTTCAGTGCTGTAAAATTATCTGCTGACAGCGCATAAAATGTAAAACGTCTGCAGGAGGAAGATCAGGCATTTTAGAATGTAAGGTGGTGTAGTTCGAAGCTGTAACCTCCACCCCAAATCCAGGTTCAGATTCATACCATTTCTCCTGCTGCCAAGTTAGTTTTGATAGAGCGGCGAATGTTCTCTCTTCTCTTCTTAGGTGGGACTCTCTATTTGACAGTGAGGCTGGCAGTGACGTCGTATTTCTTGTGGGGCCTGAGCAGTGGCGTTTCCCTGGTCACAAGGCTATCTTGGCAGCTACTAATCCAGTTTTCCAAGCCATGTTGAATGGTCCCATGGCCTCTCAAGACACCACAATTCCCATTGAGGATGTTGATGGCCGAGCCTTTGACAATCTCCTGCGGTAGGTATACAGTTCAACACTTATTTCTGTAACCAGTAGTTTAATATAAGATTGTATGCTGATACTGTAAGACTTTATGTTTGTATCCGAGCTTATATGGTTACACATGGAAAGACTGACAGAAATAATGAAAACCTGGCATTGTCTGCAAAATAAGAAATGATATTGATCCTATCCTAAATCTAGAATGAAAGGTGAAGCATCGTAATCTGACAGTGAAGCTGCATTTAATTTTATTCTTGGCATTAAATGCATTTGTGCCCAGCTTCATGCTTATTTATTCAATAAAGGGCAAGGCTTGGAAGGCTAGAAGGTCCATTCTGTACAAGGTAATAAAGAGGAAAATGTTGCCTTTGTTGAGAATCGAACCCAGACATTAACTAGACACTTCACAAATTCATCTATCCTCACACTATAATTGAAATATAACCAGTAGCTACCAAAATGAACTAATTATTTGAACAGGATCTTTATCCATCTGTTCTTCCTTCGTATCATCACAGTGAAGAGACACACACCAGTCTGTGTTCATCCACAAATGAAGTGGTTTCCAAACTGGGGGAGATATTAGTAACTGCTTGATTAAAGGGGCATAGTATTTTCTGAGACTGTTATGCAGTAAAACTAAAGTGATTACCTTTACCAAAATGTCGAGACTGTTCTGCAGTAAAACTGAAGTTATTATCGTTTCCAAAATGTCGAGATAGTTTGTAGCTGGTGAAAACCTAAACTGTGTTGATTTCAAGGATCCAGAATTGGAAAGCTTTTGCCTGTGCACTCACATAGGGAGTTAAGAAAGGTTCAATGAAACCTTTCATAATCTGAGGGGACGCCATTATATGAAGCTTTCAAATGTTATCAATTATCAAATGTCTGTTGATTTTGTGTTTCAGGTACTTGTACAAAGAGTCGGTTCAGCTACAGTCCGTCTCAACAGCTCTTCACACACTGTATGCTGCTTTCAAGTATCAGTGTGGTGGGCTTGTGAAGATCTGTGTTCGGTACCTTGATTCTCAACTTGACAGTTCCTCTGTTCTTGAGGTCTACAGGCACCTTCGTATCTACTATAACCCTTCAGTTTTACCACATTCAGACATTCAACACAATAGCTCTTCATCACAGTTGTCATCTGGCAGTCCATCAGCTCCTCCTGAAGAAGACATTGTGGGCATGGGCCATACTGCACAAGTCACGGATGGACCTTACCAGTGTCTGCCCGCCTGCAGTGAAGACATCACTGATGCAATGTCATATTGTGGTGCACTTCAACATAACTGTCTGGAATATATAGACATGCATACTAAAGAAGTTTTGGAACAAGAAAAGGTGGAGGATTTGGATCTTGAAGGACTTAGAATCATAGCTGAAAGGGAGACACTAACTATACCATTGGAGAGTGTCCTGTTCGATGCCTTGGTCAGATGGTGTAACCGTGAATGCAAGAGGAAGAGACTGGAGTTATCAGCAGAGAACAAACGAGCTGTTCTTGGTGAAGAGACTTTGTATGCTGTTCGGTATTTGCTTATGAGTTCAGAAGAATTCTTGGCGGGACCAATGCAAAGTGGACTGCTTAACCAAACTGAGGTTAATGTGATTTTGGGATATATTCTTCACCATCCAGTTCATGAAAACCCACATCTTGCAAAAGTTATACCTCAAATGCGAACACCAAGAAAGAAACCTCAAGGGCAACCCATTCCTCTCAGCCAAAGATCAAGTATTGGTGTCTGTGGCCATGACATAGTAATGTCAGAAGTGGATGGTTCTGCATCAGGAAGTGCAAGGTGGTGGGGCGGAAGGAAATCTATTAAGAAGGCTGCTCAGAAGCAGAAGAAGCAAAAGAACCAACGGAGTACAGGTTCTCGCATTATGGAGTACGTTTTCACTGCTCTGTCATGGGTGTTTGACTGACAGCTTTTATACTTTATTATACTTTTATAACTTATTTTATTCATCTTATAGATGTAAAAACTATAAATGTTACTTAAATGCTTGATACAGCTATTTTAAATATTGCAGACATACATTTGTATATCTTTTGTTTCAGTGGCCATACATGAATGGAGTACTCAAGAGTACTTGTCATGGGCATTTGAGAGTTAGGAGTACTTTTTTTAAAATCTGATACTTCAGTTTTAATTGATAATGCTGAATTAATCTGATATGTTACTTTATAGGAGTGAACAACTGTACTTATCTTGTTGACCTGCCGATGTTCAATAGACAATAGAATAGAGGTAACAGTAGAATGTCTACCGCCATGTTGTGCTGTGATTAACCCAAAATTTTATAGAGAAATATTATTGAGTGGCTAAACTAATCAATGTTACCATAATATTTTAACTGAGTATAAACAGTTTATTGTATGTTGATTAATAGTTGTATGGGACCTGAGAAGTAAAGGTGGATGGATCTTTCCACTGGTCTCTTTATGCTTAATAATGCTGGAAAGTCACTTCTTAGATTGTTGGGGTAGCCATCCCTGCATTGATGCCTGTTGCTTTAATAAATTCGAACCTATTTGTTTGCTGTAATACAGCTTATATTCTGGTGCTCAAATCATGTAAATAAGAACTGATACGAATTTAAAGATCGTGATTTCTACTCCTTGTTGAGTGAAAAGTGAACATATTGATTCTTTTGAAACAGAATATATGCATGTATACTTTGAATGTATGTTACATGGTCAGTCGTAATGTACTCACATATACTCAACATTTTTTCACATTTCTGTTAAAATGATGTATAGAAGAATCCTTAGAACTACTTATACTGTGGATATGGAAGTTTTTATAGTCTTTCAGAGTTCCTAATGGCACCAATCCCTCTTCAAATGTAGCAGTTATGATTCAAATTGATGTAGCTAACTGACTCTCTGTTGGTAACACTGGCAGCTTCAAAGAATGCCATTGGACACAATACTGAGATAGACTTCCACACCAGAATTCTATATATATTTCCTTGTCTCCATTTCTACTCACAGACTTCATCACATAATGTACCATATTGCTTCCTTATGGGATTGCTGGGATTGTTACAGAATAGAATAAACAAATGCATGGTGTCAGTTAACGTGTTCATGTAACATACAGTCAAGACCCTGTCAGTTGATTTTTGACAATTAACCCGGTGTAACTCAGTGATGCTTCATTACGCAATATGTTACTCCTCAAATCTGGGTAAGAAAACATGTATCTGTGTTAACAGCTTATTGGCGGACAGAACCGTGGAAAATCTGTCAGTCTGCTTGTAGTAGAGGAGAGTAGATAGTTCAACGGTGCAGGCACCAAATAAATTCAGTGACTGTGTTCAGTTACTTGAAAAAAAATTGTGATAAATATATACTATATAGTGGTGCTTCATAAAAATGTTACTTAAAAGTTGCCAAGCATTTTATATTCTTGTGAGTTTGTTGTTCATTTAGGTTAAAACTGTTCGACTTTTGTAAATCTGTTGGTTGAATATTTCGTATGTTTTTTTTACAGTCATTGAACAATGCATTTGTAATTTTAACTAACGTAGCTGCTAATGAAATGTAGTGTTTTAATAAGGATGCCATTAGTCTGAAATCTAGTCACACTACACTTACAGTTGCTATCCAGACTCGAGTACATATGAATTGTAATCAGCTGTAACTGCCAAAAAGTTGTCAAATATACCAGTCACAAATGCAAACAAGGATATCTATTTGTGGCTCTACAGCCCTTTTGTTGGACCTTGGCCGTTTTTTCAGTTTCTGAGTCTTATACAGAGTCGGTATGACTCCTTGGACGGGAGATCAGCACATCACAAGACCGCTACCTACACAGAATAAATGAACACAGACATCCATGTCTCGAGTGGGATTCAAACTCACGACCCCGGCGTTTGAGCAAGCGAAGACTTTCGTGCCTTAGACCGCGCAGCCACTGTAAAAATATATCTCTGAAGGTCCATCATTGTTAGGTAGGGACATAGATTGTTGTCATTAGAAAGTTACTATTTTATACATATGGTGGGAATAAAAATTACCGTGCCAGAGATCTACTTGAACACAGGACTGAAGGTTTGCTACGCAAGGTATGATATACTCTTAAAGACATTGTAAACAGAGAATAGTAACTTCAGTAAAATATGTCATTGATGAAATGGATGAAGGACATCAGTTCAATGTTAGGGGCGCAGAGGCCTTACTAACAGTTGCCCACCCTGAGATGGCTGGCTGCATATATTTTGTATCCTTAGAGTTTGATGTTGCACTATGACTGTTCATATCTGTTCATAGTGAGGAAGTCAGTTGGACGGTTGCTTGCCATTTGTGCAAGTGACTCACAGTTGCCATTCTGTTTTGCATCAGTTAAATATTTGACCTTTGTTACGTTGAAGAAGCTAGTACGTTTTGACTGTTTAGTTAATACTTGTTTGCTTGTCCGCTTTTAGGTGAGGTTCCGCGCGTCATTGCTTACATGTTCATGTCTCTGGTATGTCCACATTAGTGCTGCTTTTGCACACAAATTTCATGTTTTTAATCGGTGGACCTGGTATATTGATGATTCTTCTTAGTTGTTAGTGGGGTAAAAGTTAAAACGTATCACTGTAACAGACTTTGGAGGCCCGTAGTGTTGTGAGACGTCGAGGCTCCCACATATTCTGGACAATCGGCTGACTGATGAGGGTGACGTCAGCTTTACGAGTCGGCCGCCCTTTAACCCCAGGAAGATTTGTGGTCCTGTGTGTCATCTTTGCGTGCTAGACGGTGCGTAATTGCATGTCCCAGCCAACAGATTATTTGTACGGAGAGTTTTTCGTCAGAATAGTGTACGGACTTCATTTGGCTTTACGGCGGACGAGAGAGCCGATCAACCATTTAGTGCGTTCTTATTTCTCATTAACAAATATTGTGTATTAAGCATTATTTCAATACCGTAAAATATGCAGATCTACCATAATACAGTGAAGATGATACGTGCAGTTGGCGAGCAGAAGCAAGACGGGGGGGGTGAAAGCAGCGTCAGCAGTTAACGCCTCGCACTCGCTATCGCTTGAAGTGCCTGCAGCACGTTGCTTAGACTATATGCGCAATATCGGAGCCGAACAAGTTGCCTAACGGCCGCGGCGGCGCGTAGCTCTCTGCTCGCGGAACGGACAGCTTCTCGCTTTACGAAATTCCGCTAATACGATCTGCAGTCTCTCGGTTTGACTTGATTTGTCCAAATGCGAACTCACAAATCCGCAATTGTTTCGACAAGAAAATAGTGCAAACTAGTAACGGGGGGGGGGGGTCGTCCCTACCAGTCAGTTTCCCCTTACGCTCCGCTCTGGCGTATGCCTTGCAGAACTTACTATTCCCTGAGAGGGTAGCTTTTTTTTAGTTTCTTTTTTTGAGGTGAGACAAGAGTCCACTTGGTACGTCGGCCACTAATTGGCATGTTCTGATCATCTGCCATGTTTTACACAGTAGCCAGCTGTGCTGTCAGCAGTGGCATCTCCTTAAATGTTTTTCAGACATTTCCCCACAGGTTTCTCTTCAGCCATTAAAAACTGTGTGACAGCTCCTTATTCCCAGTGAGCTTCAATATTAGATGCCATTTTGAAGACTGGCTGCATTCGTGAGATCTGGTATACAATTCTGAAAATTTCTTATCCAAGTCAGAATAATTAGTAAGTACTGTACATTGAATTTCAGCCCTTTTTATTATGTTCTACTGGGAGTAAAACATGGGGAAAATACTTTGAGTGACCCATGCAGTGAAGTTATTCTCAAAATTACTGTAAATTTGTTAACTTATAACCTTCCAATGCACGCTTGATTTTTCATGAATTGGGTACATACAGTGTCTGAATGTGCATGTCCTAGGCAAAATGCAGTAATTATGATGTAAAGAATTGAAGTTGAGAAACCAAAATTTATATCAGTGTGAGTGCCTTGAAGTTGCTGAAATGCCCTTCTTAACATCTGCCATAATAATCTTGTTTGTTCATGAATTCGGTCAGTTCACTATTTAATTGAAAGTTTTTGGCTTGGCATAATTCTGCTGATGGTTGTGCTTTGTAAGTTCAGCTGTAGTTGGATGTAAACTTCTTCCAAGTCTTTGGTTGGGCAAAATCATGATGCTTTGGCCTTGAGAAGTAGTTTGATTTCTCTTGTCATGTAATTTGACACATTTGAGAATTAACCATGAACCAATTCATGTACAACGATATTTGTTACTTAGTATCAATTTTATACCAAATGTAACTTATGCACAGTCTTGCATTAACTATTCTATGCAGATAAGAGGCTACTGAAACGTTCTTTAATAGCCGGCGTGGTATGTGATCCGCTTACGTCACCTTATCAGCCTAATTAAAGGAAGCTTCCAGAATGCTCTCGACCAGAAAAGCAATTAAAAGAAGCTTCGAGAAGGATCCGGAAGGTTCTAGAGCGTTTTGTCATGCAGCGAAATATCGAGACAGTTCGGGAACATTCTCGAAGGGGAAGATTCAAGAACATTACATCATCACACGGTATTTAAAGGGGTTGATCCCCGGATGACAAGAGAAGTTAAGTTAAACACACACTAGTAATCGAGAATTAACGCTCGTCAATTAGGCTGGAAGACTGTCCGTCGCTACCTAGTGCTGTGGCCATCCAAATTTGTACACGACGTGTGTTAAAGTATAGTAGTTGTTGTAGAACTGATATTGTAAAGAAAAGTGTAGAGTGCTGAATAAACCAAGTGCATCAACTACCGGTACTTGTGATGGTCTGAGGACTTCTTCACCGTGTGCGTGATCCCTTCTCGTCAAGCAAGGCGTGTTAAGCCCCGAGACAGACTCTCAAGGCTCGAACCCAGGACATCACCCTTTCCATACTACAAATACTACGAAGTGGTTCTCAGACCACGTAACGGCGCCCACCTTCATCACTAAAGGTAACGACAAAAAGAACTCTTAAAGGTGACGCTCAACGCGAGGCAACACAAAGCCTCCAATAAAAGAACTCTCACATTAGTTTCTTCGTAAGGAGAGTGGAGCCTACGTTAAACAAAATGTCCATTCAGATACAGTCCATATCATAACTGCAACAGACTCACTCACGACTAACATTTTGTTTCTTTGCTGAATGGTGTTAGCAGAATTTT